GGCAAGCACAAAAGAAGAATGCAGAGCTTCTATGAAGTGATGTCCAGAATTCATTAAGAACACGCAAGACAGTGTGCACAGAATACTATATCTTTGTGTAACAAAGGGGAATAAAAGACTATACATGCGCTTATATTTCCAAAAATGAAATACCAAAAGAATAAATCAGAAACTAATATACCTGGGGCAGGACAGGAACTACTGGAGGGACTGAAGGAAGTGACACTGTGAACACAACTTTTTTTTTTTTTTTTTTTACTTTTTGTCTCTTTTTTCGTGTCCGGCAATGGATCACAACCCTCAGTGTTGCGCCCGGACCGGACCGGACCGGCAACGGGATCGCAGCCCTCGGTGTTGCACCCGCACCACGCTCAGCCAGTGCCCTCGGTGTTGCACCCACACCACGCTCAGCCAGTGAGCGGGAACCGGTCTGTATGTGGGATCTGAACCCTTGGCGGGAGCGCCNTCGGTCTGTATGTGGGATCTGAACCCTTGGCGGGAGCGCCTCCGTGCTCCCAAGCGGCGCACTGTAGCAGTGCACCACCGGGCCGGCCCTGAACACAACTTTTTATACAGTTCTGATTCGTGAGCTATATAAATAAGTGTTCACATAAATATTTTATATGTTGATAAAATACATTACAAATCCTTGTTAGGGTAGTGATCAGAAAAAAACATACATTAAATAAAACATTAAAGCTATCTTTAAAAGTTAAGGATTTCATGCAAATAAACCAATTATCAAAGTGCTAACTTAATCAGAGAGAAAATATTTTCAAATGGCTTTATAAGTCAGAATGTCAACTGTTCATACTTATGTGGATATTTTAAGTATAAAAAGAGTTGTAACCAAATATAAGTCTCCCGTGGCTTTATAAGTAGTGTTATTTTCAAACTACTACATTTAGATTATAGGATAAAGAAATTATATTAATGTTGCTAAAAATACACACTTTCAATGTTAGAGGAAAAAAAGGATAAACTCAAAGTAAAAACCTTATGATGTTAAGTCTGAGTTGGAGACATCAATACAAAATCAAAATTTATATACTTCCCAAGTCTGTCCAATGAAAGCAAGGACACCCTAGTAGCAAAAAGGACATACAGCACCCAGATTTTGGTATCTGAATTCCACTCCCCAATGAAAGAATCTGAAAGAAATGGCCCATAGGTATCTGGCAAGAAAAGCACAAAGTGAAAAACTCAAACTTCTTGTGTCAGAAAGCAAGAACCTCTTCAGAGACTAATACATCACATCAAAAGAAAGAGAACTGGCTTGAAAGGACCTCCACATATCCAGGTTGTGACAAACTGAGGAAATAGAATGGCTATTTGATTAAAACATACTGGATACATAAAAATCCATGGGTCTACAGTGATTCTCAAAAGAGAGAAAGCAAAAAGAGGTAACTCAATTCACACCCCAGCCCCTCCAAAACCGTGTAAAGAGGAAAAAGGACGTTCTTTCCTCTATCACCTGTATTAGAACCCAGCTCAGGCTAGTAACAGCAATTCAGATATGTTATGACACGATTAGTTACATCATTTGCAGATAGGTCCAAACATTAAACCTACTTAAACTACAACCTAAAATATCTCCAATGGTATCAAAATTCATTTACTCTCAAAATTTGGATAATATCCATGTTGAATGGATCCCTCCTCCACAAAGCAGCACATAAATATTTAATATAACATTTAACATTTTGAGTCCAGACCAATTCCTCCTGCCTCAAATGACCATCCATTTCTCTACTTGGCCAGACTCTGAAGATTAGGATCCTAAATGGGCACAGTCCTCTAACCCACCACTCATACTGTTTTACAACATGGGTCTAATCCTGTCCCTGCCTTTCAATAGTTTCTCCCTCCCTATAGAATAAACATCAAACACTTTAATGTGACATGTAGAATTTAAAACCAGGCCCCAAATTCATCCCTAGACAGATCAGCCATATGAAAGTGCAGGTGGTGCTAGCAGTGGGAACATCACCATCAATATCAACTGGCCACAAAAATAATAATAAAAAAATATATATATCAACTGGCCACTTACTATATGCCAGGAGCCCTATTAATCACTTTATCTCATTGAAGCTTACACCTGAGGACGTACGTGTTCTCACCCCGTATCACAGAGGAACACACTCACACAGGAAGAGTAAAAGACAACAGTGTTTCTCTTTTGGCTGGGATTCAAATCTCGTACACCTCTTCAGCTGTCTTTTTACTCTTCCATTCCTGCTGTCCTCTCCACCTGGACTTCTTTCCTACTCTAAAATTCTGGACCCTCCTACAGCATCACCTTCTCTTCCCAGATACCCTTCAGAACAGAATTCCCTCATTATATGCATGTGTATCTTCCTTATCAGACTAAAAGGTGTTAAGGATACATCTTTATATATTATTTAAGTCTTATTTAACTTGTTCTAGAAAGGACTTAAGGCAATTTTAAGGACATAAAATAGACCCAGTCAAAATTTAATTTTAAATTAAATTGGATTGAATACTGAGTCACAACTAAGCAAACCGTTTACTCCAACATAAAAAAATAAATAAATCATGCTAATAACTACAGCAAAGTTCTAAAGTAGAAAGAAAGGGGAAGGAAATCAACATCTATTGGCACCAGCTGCTGTATTTCAGGAACTGTACTGGCAACTCTACAGATTACAATTTCATTTAATTCTCAAAACGGCGTTATAGGATAGGTTTAACCCCAATTTACAACTAAGGAACTGAATGCTTAAAAAAGCCATGTGGATTTTACATAAATCAGCAATGTGGCTTTGGGCCAGGAAGGAGTGGAGCTCCACTTCAACCCAGATTGTCCCTACCTGAAAAGGTCATGCTAACTCCACATCTAACTCCACAGTCCCCATTCTTTTCTCAATACCATCTCTAACAAATTGAACAAAATGCTTGGACAAAATAGTTGATTCTCTTCTTCTAATTTCTTTTCATCCAAGGAAAAGGAAAACACATTTAATTAAGCATTTAACAAATATAAACAAGCACTTACATTTAAATGCTCTTCCTCAATTTATTAAGATTCTGCTAACAGCTAACCCAAAAGAAGTGCCCAAAGGTATTATTTTCAACTTCTTCTTTTTTTTTTGTCTTTTTTTTTTTCGTGTCCGGCAATGGACCGCAACCCTCAGTGTTGCGCCCGTACCAGACCAGGACCGGCAACGGGATCACAACCCTCGGCGCTGCGCCCGCCCCTCGCTCAGCCAGTGAGCGGGAACCAGTCTGTATGTGGGATCCGAACCCTCTGCGGGAGCACCGCCAAGCTCCCAAGCGGCACACTGTAGCAGTGCGCCACCGGACTGGCCCTATTATTTTCAACTTCTAAACAATTCACATGATTAGCTCTTCAGAAACAGTAGTAACCATTTTTTCCCACATATTTCTAACATTCTAGGGAAAAAGTGCTAACAATTAGGGAGTGCAGCCAATAAACTTGTAAAACTATATGTGCAAATAGGTGAGTCACTGGGAAGTGAAAACACTTGAATTAAATCTCTTCTATAAGACTTCAACTTAATAACCCTCATATCTTATCAGCACAGTAAGAACCAAATTTGAGTAATACCCACAAAATGCACAGACACACACAAACCACATCAACATCCGGACCTCTGAATTCACAAAAGAGAGGCACCATCATCTAAGATAATACACCCTGTAAGGACACTAATGACTGAAGACACCCTAGAAGGACACCAATGACCAACAGTTCACAATGGCTGTCCCGGGGAACATCCACTGTTTCCTGGCTTTCACGGGTATTCATAGAGATCGCACCAAAAACAAAATAAAAAGGGTTCTATGACTAAATCCTCCAACGTGGAAATGTGAATTGTGACCCTAAGGGTAGAAGGAAAGGACATAGCATTGTTCCCCAAACTTATTTGACCAAAGAACCATTTTTTTTCCTTGTAGCATCTCTTAGAACTAGTATCACAAAGAATGCCGTCTTAAGCAACACTGCTTCAGATATTCCAAAATTAAGTTACTGATATCCTACATACTGTTATTTTGTTCTGAATTGGTCATTACAGGTACTATCAAAAATAGTACAGGTGACTACTCAGACCAAGAATTTCTCTGGTCTCCCTCGCAGCTCTTTCAACTTCACCATGGCCCCTGCTGGTCTGCAAATCCTGAGAATCATCCTGATGCTGCTGGGCTGGGTGAAAGCACTGGTATCCTGCACCCTGCCCATGTGGAATGTGACTGCCTTCATCGGCAACAGCGTCGTGATGGCCCAGGTGGTGTGGGAGGGCCTATGGATGTCCTGTATGGTGCAGAGCACCGGCCAGATGCAGTGCAAGGTGTACGATTCTCTGCTAGCCCTGCCCCAGGACCTGCAGGCTGTGCACTCCCTTTGTGTCATCACCCTCCTTGTGGCCCTACTCGGCCTGCTGGTCTACCTTGCTGGAGCCAAGTGTACCACTTGTGAGGAGAACAAGGATTCCAAGGCCCGCCTGGTGCTCACCTCTGGGATGGGATCATCTCCATCATCTCAGGGGTCCTGACCCTGATCCCTGTCTGCTGAACTGCCAATGCCATCATCCAGGACTTCTACAACCCCCTGGTGGCAGAGGCTCAAAAGCCGGAGCTGGGGGCCTCCCTCTACCTGGGCTGGGTGGCCTTGGGCCTTTTGCTGCTGGGATGGGGGCTGCTGTGCTGCTCTTGTCCTTCTGGGGGTTCCCGAGGCTCCAGCAATTACATGGCCTGCTACTCAGAGACTGTCCTGCATACTACCTCTCCGGATACCCCACCAAGAATTACGTCTGATGCCAGTGGGGGGGGGGGACCCAATGGCAATAGAGCCCTTGCCCCAGAGCTGGAGCCATCAAGAGGTGATGTGTGATCACTTTGGGGTTGGTTTTTAACTTTTCTTTTTCCTCTTTTTATCTCTGACAGGTATTTTAAAAATCCATTTGATAACTGAACCAGACTCCCACCTGGGCTCTGCTGTTGGCATTTCTCACCTTTGGATGATGTAGTCAAAGAGGTGGTGCTTTGAGTTTCTGGATCTTTCTCCAGAGGATGTTCCTAGACATCGCCATCTTGGAAACCAACCTGGAGCTGTGGAACCGGTATGAAGGCTTGTTGTTCTGACAGCAAGATGGCCTGGCCCCAGGAGTTCCTGCAGCTGCTGGGGGCTGCGCTTCCCTGGACTTGCGGGGACAGCTGCCCCTTCCCAGTCAGGACTTTGGAATCACCAGGGGCTCCTGAGCTTCTCTTCTC